CACACACACACACACACACACACACACACACACACCTGAAGGCTATCTCGCTTATTACTGGACCGAATTTTACCAAATTTCACACATATAACAAGCATAGTAAGGAGTCTTAAAATCAGCAATCAAATTTGTGAAAAAGTTTTGTTTCCATGGATACGGTGGCATTATTGGATTTTGTTGACATGTCTTACGTAATGAATACCGCACTTATCGCTCATGGAAATTGACTGGGTTTTTTTTTTTGTATGCGTGTTCACAAACATTAGATCGAACAATTCTTCTGTTGTTTTTTTCCGAAACGAATTAGAAAAATTTTAACCCTCAAACTGTCAAGGATGTGCTGTGCTGTCAGAGGGTTTGGGCGAATTTCAGGTGACGGTTTATGATAGAGATTATCTCATCTATGTAAAGTCAGAACTCCATAAGAGTATATATTTTCTGGAAGGTAATGAAATGAAGAATAAGAAAATAAATATTTCAACTTATTTTTCGGAAAAAAAATTGACCTTGGGCCTTGACGATGACCTTCAAACAGACTACCACATACAAAGAATAACAGTCAACCAATTTTTTTTTGGAAATAGCTGACTTATATCACAAAACTGAGATAGCAGAGTTTTAGAACATTCACTTAGCTTTCAGAAAATATATAGTTATGCGGGATTTTACGCTAAATGAACTTTTGAGAATTTTTTTTGTATCATCAGGCTCACAGTACCATGTCAGGGTAAAACAACAAAAAACAACAACATTGATAATAAAACCAACACATGCAAATTGTTTTCTTCTGTTGTTGTTGTTGTTTTGTTTGTTTGTTTGTCTATTGTTTTTTTGTGGGGGGGGTTTTGAGGGGGAGGGATTGCAGATCTTATTTCTTTTCTGTCCCACTATTGTTTCTATCTATACTTTCCCCCTGCACTTTAAATGACTGTTATATTGTGTCAATGTGCTTCTCTTTACTCAAACAGACAGACAGACAGACAGACAGACAGACAGACAGACAGACAGACAGACAGACAGATGGACGAATAGACAGGCATTCAGACAAACAAACAAGAGGAGAATGAATCATAATAATATGTATAACAATCTGTATAAAGCAGTCCCACACCTGGCAGCCAATCGGCTTTGATGCGGGAAGATTGGGCTATCGAACCTATGCACAAGTAGGCTAAGTTATAATTAACGAAATGTTATACTCTTAACGTGGGTGGTTGGAATGTCAATGTAGTCTACCCTTTCCCATACCTCTTGGGTAGGTTATATTATGTAGTTTTTGGGGAAAACAATCATTTTATAGTCTTAAAACAGCTTGAAATGACAAGGTCGAGACATTTAGATCTACCTTCATTTTACATGTAGTTTAAAGGAAACATAGAGCAACCGTCTTTCTATTTGTGTTGTTGTTGTTGTTGTTGTTGTTGTTTTGTTTTGTTTTGTTTTGGCTTGGGTTTTTTTTTTG